AGATCCACACCCAGGCCAAGGATGGTGTGATCCCAGATCCACACCCAGGCCAAGGATGGTGTGATCCCAGATCCACACCCAGGCCAAGGATGGTGCCACCACAGCTGCCTCTGGTGCACTTCCAAGGCCTTCCCTAAACTGCCTTCAGCTGTCCAGCGCTGGACTGTTAGTTGCCTCTCAGGGGTGTCCCAGAGCAGGTCCGATCCCTGGAGCTGTCATCCATTCCGTTAGGAACAACACTGCAATCCTCTCCATCCTCTGCCGGCTTGTAAGGTTGAGGGTTTTGATTTAAAAAGAAAAATAAAAAACAACAGTGGACTGGATGCCGGTGGCTCACACCTGTCATCCCCACTTGCCAGGAGGCTGAGATGTGAGGATCATCGAAGCAGAACATCAAAGCTAGATGTACCTGAGAGGTTCATCTCCAGTTAACTGGCAAAAAAAAAGCTAGGAGTGGCGGTGTGGCTAAAGTGGTAGTGTGCCCTCCAGCCTTGAGTGAAAAAGCTCTAGGGAGAGGGTGAGGCCCCTATACCAGCATTAAAAAAATTGTCATCATTGCCAAAGTGAGACTCTGTCCTATGGTCCTTTTACCCAAACATTGTGGCTGACATACCACGTGGGCCTCTTCCAAAAAAGCTTGGGTCACCACAGAAAACCTGTCTTGCTCAGATCAGGGCTCAAAGGCCTGCACACCCCACTCAGTGTTCTGTGGAGGGGGTCACCCCCTTCCGTTGGTAAGAGGGAAGGACCCCCGCCCCCCCGCCGGGAGGTTGGGGTGTATCTGTCTCCCAGCTTCCTTTTGCCCCTTTCTGCCGTATCCAGCCACGCCGTGGAATTCCTCCTTGCAAATCCCCAAAATGGCTCAGAAATCAGAGTCTGAGAGGTAGAACTGGGGGTGCACATGTAAGAGGGGGTAGGACTGGGGGTTCATGAAGCCCGAGTCCTGGCTCAGTTTAGATTACCAATGGGGCCATGAGCCAAGGGCCTGTGCTCACCTCCGTGTGGGCGGGGACCACGCTGTGTCCTCTAGGCTGGGGCATCGGTCCTTCAGGGATAGGCTGCTGGTGGCCGCTGAGTGGTGGGTGCTGGCACTCTTGCCATCGCCCTTGGCTGGCTGCCAGCTTGTCATCTGAGATGTCCTGGGTCTTTTTTCTTTGTGTCAGTCCTTGGATTTGAACTCAGGGCCTGGGAGCTGTCCCCAAGCTTGTTTTCACTCAAGGCTGGTACACTTTGAGCCACAGCTCTACTTCCCGTTTTCTGGTGGCTCACTGCAGACAAGAGTCTCACAGACTTTTCCTGCCCCAGGCTGGCTTTGAATCTTGATCCTCCAGATCTCAGGCTGGAGAATAGGAGCCCTACCAGAGCACCGGCCCCTACGTCTGCTGGACTTCTGTCCCCCTCATCTCCAAGGCCTATCTATCCCTAGGGGGTGCTTCCCAGGGGCTCAGTTCCCAGGATGCTTTGCGCCATCTCCTCATAGGACTGGTTCTTCTGGGTGCTGCTGGCATCTCAGCTACTCAGGAGGCTGAGATCTGGAGGATTGTGGTTCAAAGCTAGCCTGGGCAGGAACGGCAGTGAGACTATCTCCAATAAACCACCAGAAAACCTGGCCCAGGGGAGGTGTGTGTGTGGGGGAGGGAGGGGACTGAGGACAGGGGGTTGACCAAGGACAGGCTGTGCCTGCAGGGCGCTGTGCAGTGACGCAGGCTGACCACCAGAGGGCGCAGGTCCAGGCTGGATTTATTGTTATTTTGGCAGGGAAGAGAAAAAGAAAAAACCCATCACGGCCAACTTCTTCATGGGGAGGGCTGTCCCTGTGGACACGGGGTGCTGGGTGTGGTCCCCACACCGTGTGGCACGATGGCTTTCTTGTAAATTTTACCTATTTTTGCAATCACATTGAGATGTCCAGCGGAAAACCATGGGGACCCAGGCTTGGCAGTCAGTGGCAGGGCCAGCACTGGCTGGCCGGGACATGCGCTATGTGGGGAGTTGATCTGACTTTTCATTAGAAAGCCACCTGTAAAACCCAAAGCTGTAAAGTGTGGCCAGGTTACAGGTTTACAGATCTTTTTTATTTTGTGCCATTCCTGGGGCTTGGACTCAGGATCTGGGGCGCTGTCCTTGAGCTTCTGGCTCAAAGCTTAGTGCTCCACCCCTCTGAGCCCTAGCGCTGCATCTGGCTTTAATTTGTAGTTCACTGGAGATCAGAGTCTCACGGACATTCCTACCTGGGGCTGACTTTGAACTATGATCCTCTGGATCTCAGCCTCCCGAGTAGTGGGGATGACAGGTGTCATGCCAGGGCTGGGAGACTTTGAAGTTGTCACCTCGTACTTGAGGCCTGCGCAAATTCAAGTCAGACAAAAAAAATTTTTTTTTAAAAAAAGTGTTTTGGTAAATGTTGGGAAGATAACGGCTCAAAGGAACCACTGTCATAAAAGGTTGATATTAGGAAGCAATACCCGTAGATAACTCAAAAAATAAACCCCACGTTTTCCTTGCTGCATGTCAGGATCCTATGGCTTTTTACAGATAGATGAGTTTAAAAAAAAAACCCTAGATATAAAAAATATATATATTATATATGTGTGTTTTAGATATAGATTATATATGTGTGTTTTAGATTTATTTGGGCTTGAAAGGGCTGGCATTTCGGAGTGGGGTCCAGTATGGTGCATGGGGGGGGGGCTGGTGCCCCTACTTCAGCCCCATGTACCATGTCTGTGGGCCACAGGAGCCAACCCCCCCCCCCCCCGCCCTATAGCTGTAAACTGGGTTGGAACAACTCACACCCAGTTCTATACTTCATGGCATTTAGGCTCTGGCTCTGACCTGTCTAAAAAAAAAAAAGAACGATTCCTGGGGCTACTCCCTCCTGGAATATTCTAGCATTTTAATCCTCTCTGCATGCTCCCACTTCCACACAAAGCCCCACAAGGCCACCACAGAGGGCAGGAGGGGCGCGGGTGAAAATCCTGAAGCAAGCGCTCCATGTGGCTGTGTTCTGTAGATATCAGTATTTTGGGGGGGGGGCTGCAGGTTGTGAGACATGAATTCGGGGCCTGGGCGCTGTCCCAGAGCACTTTGCGCAAGGCTGGTGGTGCTCTGCCACTTTGCACCACTTCTGGTTTTCTGGTGGTCCATTGGAGATCAGTCTTATGGACTTTGCGGCCCGGGCTGGCTATGAACAGCGATCCTCCAGATCTCAGCCTCCTGAGTTAGCTGGGATGATGGGTGTGAACCACCAGTACCCGGCCAGGTATCAGTATTTGACTCCAACACTCAAGACACTTAAGGAGGTGCAGGAGCAGGGTGATGTTAAATAATGGATTTTCAACAAAACTTACAGTGTGTGCAGCTCACGGCCCATGGCTCTGCATAGCGAGTGGCCCTAGCTCCACCGGCACTGGGTGACTGACTTTGGCACCCTGAATACTACTCTTCAGTCCTCAGACTAAGGACCAGAGGACGATGGTGGCTGGCAGTGGGGTCGATGGTCCACGAGTGAAAACAAAACAAGAAATTTGGGGCTGGGAAGGTGGCTCAGTGGTAGAGTGCTTGCCTTGCATGCCAGAGGCCCTGGGTTTGATTCCTCAGTACCACATAAGCAAAAAGAAGAAAGCCAGAAGTGGCACTGTGGCTCAAGGGGTAGAGCGCTCGCCTTGAACTGAAGAGCTGAGGAACAGCGCCCAGGCCCAGAGTTCAAGGCCCACGACCAACAAAAAAAAAAAAAAAAGAAAAGAAAATTGGCTGGCTCATTGGAGATGAGTCTCATGGATTTATCTCGCCCAAGCTGGCCTCGGGCCATTAGCCTCCACCTGGGCCTCCACGGGTCGCTAGGATGACGGGCAGGGTGAGTTACTAGCACCCCAGAATGGACTCCACCACCTTGCCCCACCCTGAATTTCAAGGCTTATCACAAAGACCTAATGGCTTCCACTAAGGAGTCTGGCCAAGGCCCAAACGCTCCAAAGGCTAAGGCTACGGAGCTCTAAGGCTCCAGCTGTCAAGGAAGACATAGACCACTTAAAAAAAAAATCTCCAATTGGGAAAAAGAATTGAAAAGGGGTCCGGCAGAGGGAAGGGGAAACTGAGGCTGCGGAAGCTTCTTCTTGTGGGAAGCAACAAGACTTCCACAGCTGGTGGGCAAGCTGAGCTTCTAGAAGGGGGAAGAGGGCCAGAGGGGGCCGGGGTGCCCGGCGCTCTCATCATTTTACTCTTTTGGCCTCTCTCAGGGGCTGGGGACCTGGATGAAGGAGACAAGGTAGGCTGGCTGCAAGGTGCCAGACCCCTATCGGAGCATGCACACAAGAGCGAGTGTGAGCAGGTGTGGCGCCCGTAGGCACGTCGGCAGACAACAGTCAGAGAGCCGCAGGCCACCCTGGGCAAGGTTGGCCAGTGCTCAGCAGCACCGAAAACCAAATGATAATAATGATAAACCTTCATGCCCGTCTAGCTTTTGGAAAGAGTTAAAAAACCAACAAGAAACAGGCATGGTTTGGTTGACTCTATACCAAAGCGGTTTTTGTGGTTGGGTGGTGGCGTTGTGTCAGCGCTGGGGCTTGAACTCGTGGCCTTTAAGCTTTAACTTGGCTTTTTTTTTTTTTTTGGCTCAAGGCTGGTGCTCTACTCTTTAGGCCACACCACCACATCTGGCTTTTTTGCAGCTAAGAGTCACACGGACTTTTTCCCCTGCCTGGGCTGGTTTTGAACTCAGGGCCTGCCTGGGCGCTGTCCCTGAGCTTTCTCTACTCAAAGGCTGGGTGCCACAGCTCCACTTCTGGCATTTTTTTGGCCGTTCACTGGAGATGAAGGGCTCATGGATGTTCAAGCCCCAAGATGGCTTTGAACTGTGATCCTCAAATCTCAGCCTGCTAAATAGCTGGGCTGATCAGGTGTGAGCTGATCAGGTACCTGGCTAGACAGAATTCCCTTCTGTGACCACACACACACACACACACACACACACACACACATACATGCGTGCGTGCACGCGCCACCAGGTTCTTAGCTGCTCATCTTCATGAGCATCTAAGAAAAAGAAAAGCCCAGAAGATGTCTGGAAATACGTTGTATAGAAAAGTGAGCTCTCTGCTTGAGACTGTTAACATTCGACAAGGCACTTTGTTCTGGGGATGGGGTGAGAGGTCAGGAAGGAGGATCTGGGTGGCTGTGGGCATAGGAATCGGGGCGGGCCAGGTCGGGGGGAAATCTACGTAGACAGAAAGGTTGTCCTGGTTTTCTGTTTTTTTTTTTTTTTTCCCTTTTTGGTATGTCTTAAGAAAAGCAAATCTGGTAAAATGCACGTTCCTTTGTGAAATCTATGAAAAAGGAGTTTTTTTTTCCTAAAAAATAGTTACTTCTGACTTTGTTGTTGTTGTTGCCAGTCCTGGGGATTGAACTCAGGGTCCTGGGCATCATCCCTGGGCTCTTCTTACTCAAGGCGTGGTGCTCCACCACTTGATCCACCTTCTGGCTTTTTTTTTTTTTTTGGTACATTCACGAGAAAGAAGAATGCCCAGGACTTTCTTCTCCCCCTGGGTTGGCCTTGAACCTCGGTCCCCGAGCGCAGCCCCCTGAGTGGCTGGGATGACAGGTGGGAGCCACCAGCGATTTTGTTTTTTAAAGGCCACATTTCTCGGATGGCCTCAAGCGTGGGAGAGGGGGCACTCCCTTCTCTTTCCATGTGGAGGGGCAGAGGCTGAGGCTGGTCCCCTGAGCGGAATGTTCTGGAGTGGCACAGTCGGCGGGAGACAGGCCAGGCCCGGGGCTACCTGTCGCAGAGTTTGTGGAGCACACGGTACACGTTCTCCTCCTGGCTGAGCCCCTCCAAGAAGGGGATGAGGTCCAGCAGCTCCGTGTCGGTCATGTCATCAAACCAGGACTGGACGGGCACCTGGAATACAGCACATGACTGGGGGGTAGAATGGCTCCGGGGTGGGGGGGGCCTAGTCACCCTCAGACCCTCCTCATTTGGAGCAAGGCTCTCAGTGAGGACAACTGGTATACCTTGGGAGCTCCCACCTATCACCCTAGCTACTCAGGAGGCTGAGAGCTAAGGATCGCAGTTCAAAGCCAGCCCGGGCAGGAAAGTTGGTGAGACTCTTATCTCCAATGAATCATCAGAAAACCAGAAGTGGTGCTGTGACTCAAGTGGTAGAGCGCTAACCTTGAGCTGAAGAGCTGAGGGACAGCGCCCAGGTCCTGAGTTCAAGTCTTAGGACACACACACACACACACACATATCCACACCCACGCACGCATGCGTGCACAGTGCCATCTCTGGCCAGCCAGCGCCCCCGTGGGGCGGGGCACTCACGGCGTTCTCAGGGTGGAAGGTGTAGGAGGCGGGAGAGTTGTCCACGATGACCACTCTGCTCAGTTCCCGCCCCAGGCGGCTCAGGTCCTTCACGTAGTTCCCACGGTGGAAGACACAGGACTCCCTGAAGAGCCGGGCCCGGAACACGCCCCAGCGATCCAGCAGGTCGGCCACCGGGTCTGCATACTGGACGGGAGAATTCTTTATTTATTTTTGTCAGTTGTGGGGCTTGAACTCTGGGCCTGGGCGCTGTCCCTCAGCTCTTCAGCTCAAGGCGAGCATTCTACCACTTGAGCCACAGCAACACTCCCGGTTTTCTGGTGGTTTATTGGAGATCAGAGTCTCCTGGGCTTTCCTGCCCAGGCTGGCTTTGAACCATGATCCTCAGATCTCAGCCTCTTGAGTAGTTAGGGTGACAGGTGTGAGCCACTGGTGCCTGGGTTAGGGCTACATTGTCCCTAAGACTTTGTACTCATTCTTTTTTTTTTTTTTGTCGATTGTGGGGCTTGAACTCTGGGCTTGGGCGCTGTCCCTGCGCTCTTCAGCTCAAGGCGAGCACTCTACCGCTTGAGCCACAGCGCCACTTCCGATTTTCTAGTGGTTTATTGGAGATAAGAGTCTCACGGACTTTCCTGCCTGGGCTGGCTTTGAGCCACGATCCTCTAGAGCTCAGCCTCCTGAGTACCTAGGATGACAGGCGTGAGCCACCAGTGCCCGGCTGCACCCATTTTTGTATTCAGGAATAAGGCCTAGGGCTTATTCTAGTAGGGGGCTCAAGCCTTCCACTAATAAATAACATAGTGAATAAAAATGTAAATAAAATAAAGCAATTAAATAATAATAAAAATACAATAAGAATGTTATAAAAATGCTATAAATAATAAAACATAAGTACAATAAAAACAAGTAAATAAAATTTGAAGTAGGAACAAAAATACAAAATGATAAAAAAAATAACGTAAATGAGGGCTGGGAAGGTGGCTCAGTGGTAGAGAGCTTGCCTTGCATGCCTGAGGCCCTGGGTTCGATTCCTCAGCACCACATAAGCAAAAAGAAAAAAGCCGGAAGTGGCGCTGTGGCTCAAGTGGTAGAGCACTAGCCTTGAGCTGAAGAGCTGAGGGACAGAGTTCAGGCCCCACGACCAGACCCAAAACAAAAAACAAAAAGAAAAAAATATAAATAAAAAATAAAGATAATAAAGATAGAATGACAAATAAAAATAAATGAGAAATAAATACAAATAATCACTCCCAGGGGCTGGGAAGGTGGCTCAGTGGTAGAGTGCTGGCCTTGCATGCATGAGGCCCTGTGTTCGATTCCTCAGCACCACATAAGCAGAAAAAGCCAGAAGTGGCACTGTGGCTCAAGTGGTAGAGCGCTAGCCTTGAGCTGAAGAGCTGAGGGGACAGCACCCAGGCCCAGAGTTCAGGCCCCATGACTGACAAAAGATAAAATAAAATAAATAAACAAATCCATCCATCAAGCTCTCATGGGGCATGGGGTGGGGTATGGGGTGGGGTGCAGAATATAATGAGGTATGGGGTGGGATGCAGGGGTGACCTCGGGTGCACCCCCCGTCTTCTGCCTCCCCCCCTACTCCCCGCACCTTGGCCAGGCTGGCAGTGAAGAGCACGCACTCGAACAGCTGCCCCATGCGCTGCAGGAATTCGTCCACGTGCGGCCGCTTCAGCACGTACACCTGTGGGAGCAGAGTGCACAGTCAGCCAGATGGCCCGGGTGTCCAGGCCTGCATCCCCTGCTCCGTAGGCCCCTGTAGCGGTGTATGGGGGCTGGGACTACAGGAGGGAGCTGAGGGACAGGCATGAATGGGAGATATGGGGTGGGTGGGGGAGACAGGGACCTGGCGCGGTAATACCCCTTCCTGTCTTTGGGGACCCCGGAAGGTGGAGATGGCCCACACTTCAGGAAGAGGCTGCAGAACCAGGGTAATGAGTCTTGTAAAAAGCAAAGTCGCTTGGCGCAGAGGCTCACGTCTGTCATCCTAGTTGCTCAGATCTGAGGATCTCGGTTCAAAGACAGCCCAGGCAGGAAGGTCTGTGACTCCTGTCTCCAGTAAACTATTCAGAAAAAGCCAGAAGTGGCACTGTGGCTCAAGTGGTAGAGCGCCAGCCTTGAACAGAGAGGCTCAGGGACAGCGCCCAGGCCCCAGTTCAAGCCCCAGGACAGGCAGAAAAAAAATTAAAAAAGGAGCGTAGGGGGGATTTCCACAGCCCTATGAAGGGGCTACTGAGTTCCAGGGCCTTAGTCTCTCTTTCTGTCTTACAATTCAGAACTTTATAGGGATGAGCCCCTGTCCCAGACTTTTTTTTGCGGGGGGGGGGACGGGGAGAGGGAGAGGGGTCGTGGGGCTTGAACTCTGGGCCTGGGCGCTGTCCCTCAGCTCTTCAGCTCAAGGCTAGCGCTCTCCCACTTGAGCCACAGCGCCACTTGCAGTTTTCTGGTGGTTCATTGAAGATAAGAGTGTCATTTCCTGCCAGAGCTGGCTTTGAACTGCAATCCTCAGCTCTCAGCCTCCTGAGTAGCTAGGATGACAGGCGTGAGCCACCAGTGGCCGGCCCGACACTTCACTTTAAAGTCTGCTTTTGACAGACCGAATCACATTGTCACAGATGTGAGAATGTGGAAGTACAGTTTACAGGAACTCGGAAATCACTCAATGCACCTCAGACTTCTCTCTGACTTCTTACCTGATGGATGCTTCCGTCAATTTCAACAGGAACAATAAAATCAGCATTACTAATAGGCTAGAGAGGGGGAAACAGACAAACCCAAACTATGTATTAATAGGTCTGATAAAACAAAAGCAAGTTAAAATTGGGAATTTTTTTTTGGGGGGGGGCATGGAGAAAGCTGTCATGGACCAACTTTTTTTTTTTATGTCAATTCTGGGGCTTAAACCCAGGGCCTGGGGGCGCTGTCCCTGAGCTTCTTTGTGCTCAAGGCTGGCGCTCTACCACTTAGAGCCATATATATATATATATATATATATATATATATATATATATATATATATATATGGCGCCACTTCCAGTTTATCTGGTGGATCATTGGAGATCAGCGTCTCATAGACTTTCCTGCCCGGGCTGGCTTGGAACTGCTATCCTCAGATCTCAGCCTCCTGAGTAGCTAACAGGTACCTGGTTCACCACTGTGTTTTTTTAAAATGTGTATTTACCTTAAATGAACTGTGCACCAGCGTCTCATCTAAGTCGATAACAATACACTTCTTCCCGTAGTCCGCCACCGTCACCTCTGGAAGAAGGTATTCAGCTGGTGGCTAAACAACAAATCCGTAGTATTATCTCCTTCATGGAAGAGACAACATCCTGATTGGCTACTCCATTATGTTAGTGATGGCATACGTGAAAGCGAACATGACCACAGCTATGAGGATGGTGACTGTTTGTCCGTCCTGGGGCTTGAACTTGGGGCCTGAGCGCTGTCCCTGAGTAGCTAGGATGACAGGCGTGAGCCACTGGCGCCTGGTGTGAAGGATTAATTATAACAGCAACTCTGACTTTGCTGGCCCATTTCCCGGGGGCCATGTTTTATTTAACATTTACTATGGCATGTGGCTACACTTCTGCGCTGTGTCAAACCTGTAGAATTTTCCTTTCTTTCTCACTTTCCTTTTTTTTTTTTAAATCAACACCAGCAGCTCACACCTATAGTTCTTAGCTACTCCGGCGGCTGAGATCTGGAGGATGGTTGTTCAAAGTCAGCCGGCGGGGGGGGGGGGGGGGGGGAGGGGGGGGGTGGGGGGTGGGGGGGGGGGGGGGGGGGGGGGGGGGGGGGGGGGGGGGCAGCAAAGACCGGGAGACTCTGATCTCCAATAGACCACCAGAAAACCAAAGTGGCGCCATATACATGGCTCAAAGTGGTAGAGTGCCAAGCCTTGAGCGAAAGAACTTCAGGGACAGCGCCCAGGCTGAGTGCAAGCCCCAGGACCAGTGTGTATGTGCACACACGCATACACGCACACACACATACACAACCAAAACAATCCTGGTTTTCAGGAGGCCCAACTCACAACATTCTATGCAAATTTCAATAAGATCAGAAAAGTAAACTTACACTTGGGGTGGGAGTGACTGGCCGCTGGTCACCCTAAGGAGAAAGGAAAGGAAGAAAACCACTGTCAGATTCCAAGAGACAAAGATCATATTCTTTTGTGTGTGTGTGTGTGTGTGTGTGTGTGTGTGTGTGTGTGTGTGTGAGTCCTGGGACTTGGGTGCTGTCCCTTAGCTCTTTCACTCAAGGCTGGTGCTCTACCACTTGAGTCACGGCACCATTTCCAGTTTTCTGGTGGTTTATTGGCGATCAAGAGTCTCACGGACTTTCCTGCCCTGGGCTGGCTTTGAACCATGATCCTCAGATCTCAGCCTCCTGAGCAGCTGGGATGACAGACATGAGCCGCCAGTGCCCGGCTGTTTTTTTAAAAACCAGGTGTATACTACTCCGCCAGCCCTGACGACCTTGTGCAGGGCCCCATTTTCTCCTGTAGATGTCGGAAGCACATCGGGGGGAGTGCTGGATAACGGGGTCTCTGCGTCGTAGGCCCGGAAGCAGCAGAAGAAGGAGCTGAGCACACTTTGGTTTCTCTGCTTCACGCTGAGGTTGCACTGCGCGGCTGGGAAAAGAGGCACAGAGAAGCTCATCAGCGTGGAGTGTTCCGGAACCCCTGACCACTTGGCCTCCCTGCCCCACCCCAGAGCATTCCAGGGGGTTCTAGAATTGGGTTGTCTGCTGGACAAAATCCTTTTGGGGATGTGGGGAATGGCTCAGGCCTGTCATCCCTGCCACTCAGGAGGCCAAGATCTAGAGGATCGCGGTTCAAGGCTGGCCTGGGGAAAAACATCTGAGGGACTCTTATTTTATTTCCAGTGACAAAGCAAAAAGGCTGCATGGGAGGTGTGGCTCGAGTGGTAGAGTGCCAGCACTGAGTGGAAAACAACAACAACAGAGCCAGATCTATAGCCTGAGTCCAAATACAAGGCCTTGCCACCCCTACTGTCTCCCATCCCTCAACCCCTAAAAGAAAGAGAAAAACAGTTTCTGGGGAAGAATGTCTCCTTCACAAGTAACCAGAAAGAATTACTTTGAAACCAGTGTTTGTTTTTGTTTTGTTTTGCCAGTCCTGGAGCTTGAACTCGGGGCTTGGGCGCTGTCCTTGAGCTTGTTTTGCTCAAGGCTGGTGCTCTACCACTTGAGCCAAGGCGCCATGTCTGGTCTTTTCTGTGTAAGGGGTACTGGGGAATTGAACCCAGGGCTTCGTTTATGCTAGGCAGGCACTCTACCACTGAGCCACTGTCCCAGCCCCTAAACTCATTTTTTTGAAGAGGGAAAAGAGGGCAAGAAGTTGTTTCCAGGGATCCATGCTTAAAGAAATACTCCGATTTTATTTTTCCTTCTAGGATTGCGCTCCCACCTCTGGCCAGCAGTTAGAGAGAGGGAAGTGTTGGAGGGAGGTGAAAGGCGGGGTACCCAGCACATGGAGTAAAACAGCTACAGAACACCCAGATTCTCTTGCCCCAAAGGGGAGGCAAGAAGACTTGGTCCCTGAAAGAATCACCTCTTGAGCCGACACTGGTGGCTCATACCTGTAAGCCCAGCCAGGCAGGAGGCTGAGACAGTGTAATCATAGCTCAAAGGTGGGCTGGGCAGACAAATTTGAGACTTTTCACCAAAACAAAACCAAACCAACAAAAGCCAGAAACGGAGACCTGAGGATCCCAGTTCGAGACCAGCCTGGGCAGAGACAAAACAAAACGAAACCCCCAAACCTATTGAGACTCTCATCTCCAACGAACCACCAGAAAGCTGGAAGGGGTGCGGTGGCTCAAGTGGTAGAGCGCCAGCCTTGAACACAAAGAGCTCAGGGACAGCACCCAGGTCCTGAGTTCAAGCCCCACGACCGACCAAATAAACACAGACCCCAAGAAACCTCTCTGGATAAAAACCACAGGTTTCAAAATAGATTGCACACGCCGGGCCTGAGCACGCCCCGAGGCCCACGCATCCCTTCCCGCGCACAGCAGCTCTGCCTGCCGGGGAGCTGGGTATTTTAAGCACACACCCCAGCTCAGCTCAGTCAGGGCTGGGCTGTGTTCACAGCGATCCCAGCCTCCCCCACACACGAGGAAGTGCTCAGGGCTGCATTAGCCCTGTGGCCTGAACCCCACAGCAGCCACTGGCCATCCTGCTCTTTCTGGTCCACTTCAACTAGCAGCCTTAAGGCAGTCATCATCTCTGACGACAAATGTCTCCCTCCCTCATTCTTCCAGAATGATCTTCACAGAAGAGGGGGGAGGGGGCGGGGGAGGAGAGAATCCACTAAAGATGCAGGTTAGAATTACAGCTCATCAGCTGGGCGCCCGTGGCTCACACCTGTCACCCTAGCTACTTAGGAGGCTGAGATCTGAGGATTGTGGTTCAAGGCCAGACTGGGCAGGAAAGGCTCTGAGACTCTTATCTCCAATGAATCACCAGAAAACTGGAAATGGCATTGTGGCTCAAGTGGTAGAGCGCCAGCTTTCAGCAAAAGATATTCGGGGACAGTGCCCAGGCCCTGAGTTCAAGCCCCAGGACCGGCAAATAAAATAAAATTCTAAATAACAAGCAATGGAGACAAACTGTCCTTCCTTCCCTCCCTTTCTCTCTACCTTTCTTCCTCCCTCTTTCCCTCCCCCTCCCTTCTTCTCATGCTGGTACTGGGACTTGAACTCAAGGCACCCTCGTACATTGTTTTTTTTTTTTTCACTTCAGGCCGGGTGCTCTACCACATGAACCACGCCTCCATTTCTGGCTTTTTTTTGGGTCCGGTCGTTGGGCCTGAACTCTGGGCCTGGGCGCTGTCCTTCAGCCTTTCAGCTCAAGGCTAGCGCTCTACCACTTGAGCCACAGCACCACTTCCAGCTTTTTTCTTTTTTGCTTATGTAGTGCTGAGGAATCGAACCCAGAGCCTCAGGCATGCAAGGCAAGCGCTCTACCACTGAGCCACCTTCCCAGCCCCCACTTCTGGCTCTTTTGTGGATCAACTTGAGCTCTTCAGCTCAACACTGGTGCTCTATCACTTAGCCACAGCGCCACTTCCGGTTTCTGGTGGTTCACTGGAGATCAGAGTCTCGAGAACTTTCCTGGCTGGGGCTGGCTTTGAACCGTGATCCTCAGACCTCAGTTTCCTTGGTAGCTGGGATGACAGGTGTGAGCCACTGGCACCCTGTTGGCCGTAAGAGTGTTAAGTTTCTTCCAGCCTTGTTGACAAGCTGGTACAGGTTTTGTTTTTTTTTCCCCAAGACGCTTGAACACACTGCAAGCTTTAGCTTCCACACTCATTTTGAAAAGTAGGGATGGCATCCGTGATCAACTGTTAAATGGCTTCTCTCCAGCACGGAACGTGCTTGAGGTATAAAGACTCGGGAACATTTTGGTGAAGTCTGCACACAAATCATGATTAGCTGAAAGAAATCGCTCCAGTTTTTCACTTGAAGCAGTTACTCAGAGCTAACAGAGGCTGTTATTTATCAGATTACATAATTCTTACTTATTTTATTTTTTTGACTCCAGATGCTTGCTTTCACTCATTCACTGGTTTTCTGACCTGAGCCGGGCCTCCAACCCTGGATTACATGATATTTTTGTGGGTTGTGGGGCTTGAACTCAGGGCCTGAGCACTGTCCTGGGGCTCTTTTACACAAGGTTAGTGGCTCCACCATTTCTGAGCCATAGCTCCACTTCTGGTTTTCAGGTGGTTCATTGGAGATAAGAGTCTTACGACTTTCTTGCCTGTGCTGGCTTTGAACCGCAATCCTCAGCTCTCAGCCTCCTGAGTAGCTAGGATTACAGGCGTGAGCCACTGGCACCCAGTTTGAATCCATCTTCTTAAGGTTGGTTCAACAGCAGTTTGTTGCTTAAACTTTCAGACTCGAGTTCACACTGAATTCATTACCATTTCTTTTTAAGGGCAACCAAAGTTTTCAAAGCAACCAATTTTGACTTTGTCTACAGCCCTCAGCTCAACCTGAAGCAAACATTTAACGATGACAACTTTTTGACTGGCGTTGGTGGCTCATGGAGATGTGGCTCAAGTGGTAGAGCACCAGTCTTGAGTGAAAAAGCCAACAAGGAGTGCTAGGTCCTGAGCTTCAAGGCACAATATAGGCACAAAATAAAACATTTCCCAACAATTCACCCAACATCAAAGATATAGCTTGAATCACTGTGAAATAAGAAAACTGAATTTTGCACACTTAAAATTCCTCTACTATGGGCTGGGATGGGAATGTGGCTCTGTGGTAGAGTGATAGCCTAGCATGCATGAAGCCCTGGGTTTGATTCCTCAGTACCACATACACAGAAAAAGTGGTAGAGCACTAACCTTGAGCCAAAGCAACTCAGGGATAGCACCTGGGGCCCGGAGTTCAAGCCCCAGGACTGGCAAAAAAACAAAACAAAAACAAAACAAAACAAAATTCCAGGCTCAGATTTCACTGGGGGGGAAGGGACACCAATTTCTACACAATTTCTTCCAGGAAACTGAAGGGGAAAAAAAGAACCTCTTGGGGGGCTGGGAAGGTGGCTTAGTAGTAGAGTGCATGCCTTGTATGCATGAGGCCCTGGGTTCGATTCCTCAGTACCAAATAAGCAGAAAAAGCCAGAAGAGGCACTGTGGATCAAGTGGTAGAATGCTAGCCTTGAGCTGAAGAGCTGAGGGACAGCGCCCAGAGCCAGAGTTCAGGCCCCATGATGGACCAAAGGAAAAAAAAAAAAAAGAACCTCTTGGTCTACTTCTCCACTTCCAGCTTTTTCTGGTGGTTTATTGGAGATCAGAGTTTCATGGACTTTCCTGCCCAGGCTGGCTTTGAACCAAGATCCTCAGATCTCAGCCTCCTGAGTGGCTGGGAGCCAGAGGCACGAGGCGAACTTTTATCACCTCTAAATGGAAACTTTAATTTAAAAAAGTTAATTAAATCAAACCTCTTCATATCTGATCTGTTTTCAGATATAACTACTGCTTCAGAGTCTATTCTATTTCAACTCTTTTTTTTTTTGGTCCCAGCACTGGGACCAGCCTGGTCAGGAAAACCCATGAGACTGTGATCTCCAGTAAACCACCAGAAAACCAGAAGTGGCGCTGTGGCTCAAGTGGTAGAGTGCCTGCCTTGAGCTGAAGAACTCAGGGGACAGTGCTCAGGCCCAGAGTTAAACAACAAAAAAACAAAACAAAATAAGAAACTCAAGTGAATTAGGGTTTTACAGCAAGAAAGGGTCTCTACTAATGAACACCCCCCCCCAGGACGGCAGATTGGACCCATAAGCCAATCTGACACAGAAAAAACAAACAGAACAGGTAGTCAGGAGATGATAGAAGGTTGCTAATAAAAGCTACTGTCAACAAGCCAAACAGATCAGGTGTGCTCTTTAAGTTTGTCTACCCAGTCTAGATTTTTTCACAGATTGACTCTTTTGCTTAAAAAGCTTGGAAACAGCATCTAGGCACAGAGTTCAAGCCCCATGACCAACCCCCCCTAAACAACCCCCCCAAAACAGCCAGGACATGCCCAGTGACTCCTGACTACCATGAAAACTGAGGATCCCGGTTTAAGGCCAGCCCAAGCAGGAAAATCAGTGAGGTGCTCCTATCCTATTAACTAAAACCACCACAGGTGGAGCTGTGGCTCAAGGGATAGAATGTACCTGGAGTGGGAAAAGCTAAAGGGCAATATCTAGGCCCTGAGTTCAAGCCTGGGTATGGGTACAACACACACGTGTGCACACACACACACACATACACAGAGTCCTACCCAGCCTGCCACCCATTGTCCAACTTAAACCACCCTGGCCTGTACATCTGAATATACACACATCTGTATACGCACATCTGGATGTGGTCAGAAACCACCACGCTGCTTCCCGTGTGTGGGTGTGTGTGCACACCCACAGGGGAGGTCTGCAGTGTGAGACGGACTCACCACCACACACTCAAACTGTCAGCAATGAAGACAAGAGCCCCCCTCACAGCTCCGGCTCATCTCTCCCTGTGGTGTGGGAAGACACAGATCTGTGAGCCTCCACACGCCAGCCTGACAGCCGCTGTCAGGTGTGCACGCGTCTGTCCCGCTCCGTGGTGCGTATGCACACTCATGACCTGTTGGATCTGCTGCACATGCATTATCTACTACACACACTCACCCTTTCAGACCAATTATTAGGAACAGACATGCACACACACACACACAACCTCTGCCAGTACGTGCACACCTGCTGGGGCTCCACTTGCACACCTGCATGCACACACCTCTGCCAGTGTGTGCACAACCACTGAGGCTCCACTTGCAACTCGCACACTTGCCGGGGCTGCACTCGCACACTTACAACTTTCCTGCAAGCACATGCACACACGCCTGCCCCGGCTCCACTTGCACACACACGCACACACTTCTTCTCTGCCAGCGTGCACACGCCCTAGGCTCCACTTGCACCATTGCGCCCGGGCACAGCCTCCCCTCCCCCCGGCCCCCCGCACTCACCCTTGGCGGCGGCGCGGGGCGCGCGGGCCTCGTCCTCCCCGGG